GTTGTGGCAGGTGCCTGTAGTCCCAGCTACTCGGGAGGCTGTGGCAAGAAAACTGCCTAAGCCCAGGAGTTAGAGGTTGCTATAAGCTGTGTGACGCCACGGCACTCTACTGAGGGCGATAAAGTGAGAGAGACTCTGTCTCTACAAAAAAAAAAAAAGAAAGAAAAGAAAAGAAAGCATTTAACAGAAGCAGCTTTATCTAATAGTAAGTAACTGAAAGGCCTGATTCAGAGGTCAGCAAATTTTTCTGTAAAGGGCCAGATAGTAAATATATTTAGCTTTATGGGCCATATGGTCTCTGTCACAGCCACTCATGGTGGAAGTGGCCACAGACCACAATGTACATAAATGGGCCGTGTCACAATCAACCTTAATTTCATACATTAAGATTTGAATTTTATATAACTTGCATGTGTCACAAATATTATTCTCTTGAGGGCGGTGCTTGTGGCTCAAAGGAGTTAGGGCGCTGGCCCCATATACTGGAGGTGGCGGGTTCAGACCTGGCCCCAGCCAAAAACTACAAAAAAAAAAAATATTATTCTCTTGACTTTTTTTTCTTCAGCCCTTTAAAAATATAAAGCCATTCTCAGCCCAAAGACCATACAAAAAACACGTAGCCAGCCACAGTTTGCCCATCCCTGGTTTAAATGTTAGGCCATGACAATGTGTCTATTCGATGAGACATTCTGTGGCCCCTGAGAATGACCATCAGGAAGGTTATGTTTAGAACGTGACACTGGCTGAGGAAAGCAGAATAACTGAGAGCACAGACGCTATGAGTGGAGCGAGAGCCCCGTGGAAATTACGCAGGTGGAGAGTCACAGAACAGGAGGGCCCGACTGAGAATGCTCCTGCACTAGGGGGTCAGATTGAGGATGATTCACTTTTGCTATAAAGATTTTATTTAACACTGCCTTTTCAAAAAGAAGTATATATTTTTAATCCGTTAAAAGGAAAGGAAAAACTCTGGAATCAACTTCATTGGGAACAGGTGATTGATCCCTCTCCTCCCCTGCCCCTGTTTCTCTTTCTCTACCATCCTGTCACCACCTGATGTGCCACTCACTTGCTCATTGACCGTCTACCCCTCTGGAATAACATAAGCTCCAGGAGAGAGGGATTTTGTTTTGCTCATTGCTCTGTCTCAGGCCCTGGCACGGAGTAGGCATTCAGTGAATATTCTAGGCCCATGGCTGGGTGACAACCGATGTCAGTAAGCACCACATTCCCAGGGTGGCCCTGGAGGGCCTTCATGAAGCTGTGTGGCTGCTGCACCACACAAAGGCACCCAGGCTTCTTCAGATCCCACTTGCAGGTGCTGGCTCCTCCCCAGTATGCCCCCCAAGTGTCACGATAATCTAGGACATGGTGTTAATCTCTTGCCTTAAGGTGGTTCTGTGGCCATTCCTCACTGGACAGGGAGCTGCTCTGAAAGGGATCATGGCAGCCTCTACTCGGTACCCTATAATACTGAGAATTGGCATACAGTGGGCACTGAACAAACGTCAACAGTGCAGATCTCTACTACTGCTTTCCAGGTACAACACTCAGAACCTTCCCTCAAGAATCTCTCTTATCTTTGAAGGAATTCCGCCCACTAATCACCTATCCTAAGGAGAAGCCTCTGCTTCCTCTCCATCAGAGGGAGTTTCTCCATTTCCCAGAACCCAGAAGGACAGCATGCCCCTCTGTGAACTTTAGAAACCCTGGTCAATGGCCTGGCTGGGGGAAAGGTGATGGTCCTACCTGTTTCATCCTTAAGGTCCTGAAAAAATTTCTGATTGAAGATGAAAGCCACACCACTAATCTCTTCCACCTTGGCCTCAGCTGTGCTGTTTCTGTTTATGAAGTTGGCGGTGATTGCAATAGCCAACTTCCCACGGAATTCTTTTCTTCTGAACCCTGCATGAGGAGAAAGGAAAAAGTGGGTCTATCTTCTGGATTTGGTGTAAAAACTGAAAAAGTCCTGAGAAATCTATTCTCAGATGCCCCACTCCCCCACCCATGATGACAAAATTCTGGATTTCCAGAGAATAGGAGCAGACAGAGAGGTCAAGGTTCCTTCCCAAGGAGGAAGCATGTCACCGGGGTGCTTCTGAAACCAGTGGAACTTTGTCCTTTTCTAAGATGTCTAGATGCTGGTTGGGCCTCAACAAACAAAGGCTAAAGTGATCTTTCCCAACAGGTCACTGCAGGGTTCATCCTTTGAAAGATGTGTTAGGCACTGTCGTTAGATACACCATGACAGACTCACATGCACTGTGACCTTAAAGGGTGAAAACTACTTTGTTAGCATTTTTCATGTTTTGCCCCCTTTGAAAAGTAGGATTATTCAATTGAATTTCTGCAGGACAGATTTTTTTTTTTTTGAGACAGAGTCTCAAGCTATCGCCCTGGGTAGAGTGCCTTGGCATCATAGCTCACAGCAACCTCCAACTCTTGGGCTCAAGCAATCCTCTTGACTTGGTTTTTTCTATTTTTAGTAGAGACAGGGTCTCACTCTTGCTCAGGCTGGTCTCAAACTCATAAGCTCAGGCAATCCACCTGCCTTTAGCTTCCCAGAGTGCTAGGATTACAAGCAAACAGAGATTTTAACAAGTTTTCTTTGTATCTCCCATTGTTAGGGGTTTTATTATGTCCCTGAACCCCTGAAATTCATATGCTGAAGTCCTAACCTCTAATATCTCAGAATGTAACTTTGTGATTTGGAAATAGAGTTATCGCACATGGAGTGAGTTAAGATGAGGTCGTACAAGAATAGGCTGGGCCTTGATCCAGTATGACTAGTGTTCTTATAAAAAGGAGACTTTGGAGACAAATACACACAGTAAAATCACCACATGAAGTTAAAAGCAGAGATTGTGATGATGCTTCTGGAAGCCAAGGAACAGCAATGATTGCCAATAAACCATCAGAAGCTAGGGCAGGGCCTGGAATGGATTTCTTACTCACAGCCTCAGAAGGAAGCGACCCTGCAGACACCTTGATCTTGGACTTCTGGCCTCCCAGAGCTGTGTGATAACACATTTCTGCTGATCAAGCCACTTAGTGCTTGGTCCTTTGTTAGGGCAGCCCCAGGAAAGACATATCAACTCCCAGCAACCAGAACTCAGTACACACTCAATACACATAGAATGTATTCCATCTACTGACAGAATGCTAACTTGCAATGAATTTAGCACTCATTCTTCAGAATTCTTACTGTTTTCAATGACGTATATTAAAATTGCTTTTGAAAGGCAGTGGCTTGCAGATGGATCACAGCAGATAGTCTCTTCTTAACACAGCATCTCCCTCCTAAACCCTCTGCCAGCACCTGACCATCCCTGCAGCCCTGAGTTCCTCCAGTCCCAGGCACACTGTGCACTTTGTGGGACTCCAGGTGCTGGCCTACAGGTGCGTACTCTCCTATCATAACCCCTCCTCAGACCCCGTGGGGAAGCTCCCACATCGCTCCCACCACATACTCCAGCCTCACGCTGATTCTCAATTGCTCTGTCAAAAATCCCTTTGACTGAAAACCTCAGCTTTCTGTTCAATATCCCTCCCTTTCTGTCATCCCTCATTAGACCTTTTGTCAAAGGATTAGAAATGACCATTCATCTCTGGCCTAGTATTTCTCAGCTGGGGGTGATTTCACCCCCAAGGCCACTTGGCAATGGGCAGAGACATTTTTAGTTGTCACACTTGGGGGTGCACCCAGTGTCTAGTGGGTAGAGACCAGGGACACTGCTAAGTGTCCTACTGTGCACAGGGTGCCCCAAGACGGAGAATTAGGTGGCCCCAAGCATCAATGGTACCCATACTGGGAAAGCCTGCTCTGGTCCACTCATCTTGTCCTGAGTGTCTCAAAGGGCTCCATCCTTCCCACCCTTCTTTCCACGTTCATGAAAGGCAGAACTATACTCAAGTTGGCAGTGAAGCCTGGATTTCAAATACTCCAGCTTATACTTTTAGTAAACCACCAAAGTGATCATAAATTTTAATGGTACAACATCCAGATTGGCAGCTTAAAAATCTCCTGTCAAATGTGGGTTATCAGTAGTGGGGAGGTAGATATGGAAGGGAAGAAGGAAGGTGAGTGGCCAACAGCCCTGTCTGTGCGGCAGATGGGAAGGTTCTGGGTCAGGTAGCCCAGGGATCCTGAGTTTTCTAAGCCCCTTTCAGAGAGTGTGTTCTGCCCTCAGAGGATATGTTCCCCCAGGCAGGCACATGCAGTTTGTGACCCCGAGGGGTAAATGAAAAAAAGCAGAACTGCTCCTCGTCTCAGAGATGCCACCGTGGCCTCTGGTTAGTACCAGTGATGTTAATTAGTGTAACCTGTGGCCTGATTAGTCCTAGAGCTGGGGTGGAGGTGACTGGAGCGCCCCTGGCAGTGGGGTTTTCCCCTTGACCTAACTGGATCTTACTCCAGGAAGGCAGGCTGTGCTCCCAGCTTTGGCACTCAGAGGAGCCCAGCCTGTGTACCTTGACAGTCTGGCAAGACTCACCTAACTACCAAGCAGTGGGTGTGCCTCAAAGTTAAGAAAAGAGATGGCCCCTCCTTCAAGTATAAATTAGTATTATTATACTTGAAAGTAAACTACTACCACTAATAGTAGTAGTTTATTCTAGATATCTATTTACTCTAGATGAAGTAAGCGTGGACATACTTAGCACCCAGGCTAGCACATCAGCAGGTGCTCAATAAATGGGTGATGGTTTTTCCAGGGCACTTTATAAAGCATTCTTACATATTGGTCTTTTCTCAGCCCTTATAACAACACTCTGAGGGGATTCTGCTATTTATAATTGAGGAAACCAAGGTTCAGATAGGCTAAAATGGCTGTCTTCTTAATGCTGAGCCACAGAGGGGGGACGGGCCACTCTACTAAGGAAGGACAGGACTGTCTGCCCCTCTATCAAGACCCCCATCCAGCTGTGGTGGCTGCCATCTTGCCCACCTTCCTCCAACCTTCTTGGACACATCCCTTCCCACTCCCATCCCTCTATCCCCGCTTCAAGAAGAAGAATCTTTACCTTCTAGGGTGTTCCTGCGGCCATCGGCACCAATGATGACATCAAACTCAAACTCTGACAGAGCATGGTCTATGGGGAGAAACTCTGCCCGCCAGCCGATTTCTACCAGGACAGAAAAATGAGATGAGTTGGCCGAAATGGAAAGAGTGATTATACCCCTTCTCTGTCGGCCACAAGAAATGGACTATGCAAATGACTATGCAAATGAACTATGCATGCACCCCCGGGGAGAGCCTCCAGAGAAGAGGCCGGGAGCAGGCCCGATTCACACTCCAATCTGAAGTATCGGTTCAACCCAAGGCAAAGCAAACCAGCGATGCCAATGCCATGCCTGGGTTTCCTGGCCTCTGCTGGGACTCAATCCTCCATGGTTCTCAGACTAGTCTCACTCGCTCCGGATTTCCCTCAACACTTTGCACCGTGTTCTCTTCACGCTCCCCACATTCTTCAGCACCTTCTATTGCTAACTGGCCAGTGAAATGGTACAGGGTGTGATGAAATCAGCTTCAATTTCTATGCTCAGAACGCCCAAGATGTTCTGTTGAATAATATGCTGCCTTTTATAAACACATTTTCAGATGAAGCCTGGCTGCATATACATAATTAAGATTTGGCATCCACGGGAGGTCTGAATAAGGTTAATAGCACCCGGCCTCTGAATGCTAAATAACAAATGCTGTCCTGCTATAAGAGCTAACTACAGCCTTCCCTAAATTCTCAAATGTTCTGGGCAGGGGATGGGAGAAATCACAGATGCACCCTATGCTGGAGATTATGAGGTCTCTGACACTGAGCTGGCCCCAAACTCTAAGCCCTTCCTAGGCAGCAGCAGGTTTTGACACTAAGAATGAAGCATGGCCATCCTGAGCAAACTCTCTCCATGTTTGTGTAAAAGATCAGAGTTTCAAGAAGCATACTAAAAAAGAGAAACAGTACAAAGGAAGATGTACCTGTATGAGTACATTTTATAGTTTATAAATTATACTTCAATAAAGTTCTAAAATATCATATACCAATAGTGTCTTGAATCTCGTGTCATAGTTGCTCTAGAAGCTTGATTTTCTTTGCTGGATTTTAACATATCTAAGGGTACATACAAGAAGTGCAGCCACATATCTACGTGTGAACACACAAACAGCTTGAAGAACATATGAATGAACTTCAAACAATCAAATCTATGTCTTTTACTTATTGGTCAGATTTCAAGCACCAGAGTAGCATTCCCTGGGGGCGGGGCAACCAGGCTGTAGGTTTAACAGCTTCATAATAAACCTCCTGGGGGCTGACAGCATTAGTGAAAAAGGGTAAAATATGCTTCAGCGGAATGACGCCAAGCAGCGCCCAATAAAAATAACTCTAACAGAAACATCCTCTGAGAGCTGGAAATGTGATTTCCATTTTGAAATATCTGATTTCTAGACAGAAAAAGGAAAATGATACTGTACTTTGATTTTCTTGATCTTCGGGAGGCTCTAGAACCTTCACAAACTCCACATTCACGTGGATTTCAACACCCAAAAGCAGAGCCACCTTGAATAGGATGAGCTGCAGTTGGCGAATACCTGTTAAGAAGGAGAAGGGAAGAGAGAGAACTGTGAGGAGCAAGGATTGAGCACCTCCTGCATACAGGGTGCTACGTAACCACTGCTGCTCAAGGATCTGGGAGCACAGCAGTCTGCCAGCAATGATCATTCTTGGGTACTAATCATGGGCCCACACTCTGTGTTTCCTGGCTTAACCCCTACGGTGGCCCTTTGGGATCATTATTATTCTTATTTCACAAATGAGAAATTGAGGCTTGATGAGGCTAAGTGACTTGTTCAAGGCCACACAGTAGCAAGATGAGAATCTGGACCCAGGTCTGTCGGATCCAAGCCCCTACTCTAGCTGGAGGCTCCGTCTCCAGCCTCCGTCCTGAGCTGGCCTTGTGTTTGGGAAGATAAAAGATGGAAAGAGGAGTAGACAGAGAGCAAAGGGCTGAAGTCAAGTCAGTGACTCATTAGCTGGGGCCTGGCCCTCAGTTCTTAGTCACCAGGGTAAGGGGGGGTGTGGGAAATTCTCCCCACAAAGCTGGTTTGTGGTTATCCATGTCCCAATTACTCTCTGAAACCCTCCCAATAACTGGAACCCCGTTTCCCTAGTTTGTCTGCAGCCTTTCAGGACAAATGCACATGGCTTCAAGGACTTCCTGCAGAGTGAGTGCAAAGTTCTAACTTTCCCTGGGCCCCGGAGTATTTAGTGGGCCTAGCACAGCTCCCACTTACTGAGCCAGGTGCCAGGTGCCATGCCAGGCACAGGAGACATGGAGCATGCCCTCTAACAGAGGGAACACAGGAACACAGAATGGGCAGAATATGGTGGGGTGGGGGTGGTAGAGCCAGAACTGGGCCTGAGTTAGGGCCCTGGGAGCCAAGAAAGGAGGAACCACAAATCTCACATCCCATGGAGAGATTGAGGACTATGAAGATGGCGAGAGGTCATCTTGGGAGTTAGGAAGCATCTGGAGACTGTGGTGAAAATCTTTTTAGCATGGCGGGTGGGAAAACTCAGACTGCAATGGAAGAAAGTATGAAGGGAGTGTAGACTTGGTCTACATTTCCTCTTTCTAGAGGAAATACTGTGAGGCAGGGGGAGGTAACAGTGCAACAACAGAGGGCAGGAGGGCCAGCCTGAGGTGAGCAGGAGGAAGACCCAGTGATGGGGCAGGTGGCAAGGAGGGAAGGGGGCAGCCAGCTCTGCTCTGACACAGTGTGAGGAAGGAATGGTGCTCGGGTGGCGGAGGAGGGAAGCGGGGCTGGCCACGGAGCACCGCCAAGGGCTTCTCTTTCCCAGAGCTGGGGGTGGGGGGAGGCCATCTGCTCAGAAGGAGGAGGCTGTGCTGGGGTTTGGAACACACCACTGGGACCCGGGGGAGGACGCTAACACAGGACATTGGGAACTACTGAGCAATGCTGAGCAGGAGGACACAGCTGGGGCTGGAGACATGCTGAGCTGAGAGGAAGCCAATCAGTAGGGGCTTAAAAGCCCCAATCCACCCACTGCCATGAAGGTCCTTCTTTCCAGGGGAGGCCTGGCCTTGCCTCAGGGTTTCCAGTCCATTTTGTTCCAGCACACAATAGATGCTCAATAAAATCTTCCTGCCTTCCTTCTCGCTGGCACTGGAGCTGCCCTTGACAACGATCATTCTGACCATCTCAGTCTCATTTCTAGACTCTTGTATGCTGCAGTATTTCCAAGGACTAGGGGTTACAGGAGAGCCCCACGAAGGAGGAGGAAGCGGGGGCCCTGTCAAGAAGCCAGCCCCACTGCCCAGGGCCCTTACAAGGCCTGCTGGCACCCAGCTCCATCTCAGGAAGACTCTGTGGGAACGTGGCGCTCAGTGCCGTCATTCTAAATTGGTAACCGATATACATTCTTCTGTGGGTGGTAGAGAACATGCTGAAAGCTGATGCTGCAGCTTTCTGGGCAAATCCAAATTTCTTTCCGCTGGACTCCTGGAATTTTCTCATCCCAAAGCGGGAATAAACTCTGGGGCCACTGCTGGTAAATTCTCCTGTGTCTGAATAAATTACACCCTGTGTGGCTGATAATTCTCTCCAGTCGTTCCCACCCAAACCCCAGTCCCTTTTCCCATCAAGTCTTGTCCTTAGAAGAACATGGGTTGAGAGAAGCAGCTCAGAGCCTGTAGTCTGGGGACCACGGCTGCCTCTTATTCACTGTGTCTTCTACTTATTGCTCAGTTTTACACCAGTAACTGGATAACCACGACCCAGCTTTGTGGGGAGAATTTCTCATCCCACCCCTTACCTCTGAGCACCTACTATGTGCTAGGCATAGTGCGAACTTGACCTCATGTAATCTCCACAATTCTGGGAGACAGGAATTAATTACGTTTTATAGGAGATGAAACTGAGGCTTGGAGAGGGTGAAAGACTTGACTCAAGTCAGACAGAAATGGAAGAGACAGATTTTATATCCAAATCTGCTCAAACCCTTGACTTCTCCCTGCAGTGTTAACCTCCATGACTTTCATGAGAGACTTTGCTCTACAGTCATGTGTAATTATTCTGCAGTTGGCCCCACAGAACTTGAGGATAGGAAAAGTCAGCCCTCCTTATGTGTGTGTTTCACTTAACAAAAATACTGTGTTTTCAACCTGCATGTGATCGAAAAAAAGTGTGTGTATAGAAGTTCAAACATGTGTTGTTCAAAGGGTCAACTGTATAAAAATGGCTAAGACCTCTTCTCTGCAAAGCTGCCCTTCCCAAAGCCTGTCTACACAGATCTTGCCCTGGGAGACCCAGGCTTGAGCAATGACAGAGCAGAATGGCCTCAGTACTCATTTCGTCCTGTGAAAGTATTCAGGGATGGCCTAGGTAGGACCTGAAATCCATGTTCCCTTTCTAAGTCTAGCAAAAGTTTCATCATGTTGTTCTCTCTTTTTAAAGCTCAAGTTATAAAAACTTTGGTATGAGGTCTGTCAGAAAGACATACTTGAAGTTATTTCTCTGTTCTAAAACTTGCCATGGCTCCCCAGCACTGGCAGCATAATGCCCAAACTCATTTGCACAGAGCGTCTCAACTATCTGCCTCATTTAATGGTTTTGTACGGCTGTCTCCTCTGCATTCCTCTAGCAAGTGTGACTAACTCTATTAAGGCACATTGTGTTACTGGCAAAATTCTGGTGAGCTCCCTGAGGGTACAGACTACGCTATTTACCTCTGTCTCTGGTTTTTGTATTTCATTCATTCATCCCACAGATGTTTATCAAGCATCTGCTTTGTGTCAAGCCTCTTTACTGCCCTTACAGCTAGTTTGGTAATTAAGATATGAACAGTCCCTGACCACATGGCTCTTCCAGCCTAGTGAGACACGGCACAGGTCCTGGATAAGGCCTCATGTAGGCCTTTCACTGAATGTCTGTTAGTTGGGCATAGGGAGCCCCCAGGGACTTGTAAGATGGAACAGTCAGGGACTCCTACATGTGCAGAGAGGTGTAGCACCCACAGTCTGCCCTTCCCTTCACGGGGGACCACCAGTGGCTGTACTCACTGATATGGTCGATGGAGCCAGCACAGAACTTCCCGTAGAACTTCTTGGCTCCCAGGCCCCGCAGGTCATGGATAGTGAAAGGCCAGAGGTGTAGCACGTTGTTCCGGGAGAAGGTGTCCCTCTTCTCCACCACGACCACTTTGGCTCCCAGGTAGGCAAGTTCAATGGCAGTGCGTAAACCACACGGTCCTCCCCCGATGATGAGACACTGTGGAGATGAGTGAGCAGAGAGCCCCTCAGTAACCTTTAGCATCAGAGACATGCACCCCTAGTCAGGAGTGTAGTGAGGTGTGAACCCCTGTCCTCCCAAGTCAGCCAGCAAGTGCCAACAGTACACCTGTTAGGGCCTGTCATGCATCTGTCCAGGCATATAGTACCTAAGGTCCTAGCAGGGACCAGCCATTGTACCAAGCCCAATGGGAGGGACACAGAGGTAGAGGTAACACACAAGTTACACACTTGGGGAAGAGTCATAGGAAGACACACATGAGGTTTGCCCAGGGGCAAACTGAACTGGGTTAAGTCCCAGCTCTGGCATTTGATGCTGAGTTTCCTTATCCGTGACATGTGTCTGTTACTCTTCTCCTGCAAATAAGGTCACATTTAAAAAGCATATGGTACACCTTTGCAATCTTGGATTAGGCAATAGTTTCTCAGACACAACATCAAAAGCAACACATGAAAAACCTGAGAAATTAGACCTCATCAAAATTAAAAACTTTGGTGCTTCAAAAACCAGTATCAAGACAATCCCACAGATGAGAGAAAATATTTGCACATTGTACATCTGCTAAGAGACTCAGATCCAAAATATATAAAGCATTTTTACAACTCAACAATAAAAATACAGTCCAACTAAAGAATGGGCAAAGGATTTGAAATAGACATTTCTTTAAAGAAGATGTACAAATGGTAAGTACATGAAGAGATGCTCCAAACCATTAGCCATCAGGGAAATGCAAATCAAAGCCACAAGAGAAAGGCCTCACTTCATACCAACTAGGATGGCTGTAATAAAAATAGCATGTGTGGGTGAGGATATGGAGATACGGCAACCTGCATACGTTGCTGATGAGAATGCAAAATGGTGCGGATGCTTTAGAACAAGCTGGCTATTCCTGCAAAAGTTAAACACAGAGGTACTATCTGAGCCAGTAATTCCACTCCCAGGTATATACGCCTAAGAGAAATGAAAACATGTTCATACAAAAATCCTACACGTGAATGTTCACGGCAGGATTATCCATGACAGCTCAAAAGTAGAAACAACCCTGAAACATCAGGCAATCACCTGATGAAGAAACACAATGTGGTATATCCATACAATTAAATATTATTCAGCTCTAAGAAGAAATGAAGTCCTCATAGATGGATGAAGCTTGAGGGTATTATGCTACGTGAAAGAAACCAGACACAGAAGGACACATGTTGTATGATTCCACTTACAGGAAAAGTCCGCATAGGAAATTCCATGAGACAGAAAGTAGATCAGAGCAGGCCAGGGAAGGAGAGAGGGAGAAGTGGGGAGTGACAGCTGTGTGTACAGAGTTTCCTTTAGGAATGTTCTGCAATTAGTAGAGATGGTTGTGTAATTTGTAAATATGCTAAAACCACTGAAATACACACTTTAAAAGTGTCAGTGGTATAGCATGTAAATTACATCTTAATAAAAAATTCTATTAAACAGAGCACGTGGCACAGAGCTTGGCATGCATCGGTGTAAATGGTATTATTCTTACTGTTGAGACCTAGTCCTTGTCTTCTGGGAACTCTCAGGTTAGAGGTAAATTCAGGCTTGTGAAATAAATAACTAGGAGCTCTATGCAGAGCCCAGAAGGGAGAAAACTAATCCTGCCTGGTAGGCTGGGAAAGACTTCATGGAGAAGAGTCCTTAAAAATTATTCCTATTTTAGCTTACTACATGTATTGAACATCGGCTGTGTACCAGACATTGTTTCGAGTGCTATATGTGTTTTAGTTTTAATCCTCACAACAAATCTAAGGAATTATTATTAGGTCCATAGGAAGGAAGTACTACTACACATTACGCCCATTTCACAGGTGGGAAAACAAAGGCACAAAGCAGCTGAGCTATTGGGGCTCATGGTTTCAGGGACTGAAAGGAGCAAAGCCAAAACTCAAACCCAGGTGGTCTTATTCCAGAGCCTACCATGCTCTATTGCTTCTGGTTTAAGAAGAAGGAAAAAAAAAGAACATTTCAGCAGGGGGCACAGCCCACTCAAAAAGAAAAGAGGAAGAAGTTTAAGGTAGATGGAAAGGAGGAAACTTTGGGAGAAGAGAAGAGAAGAAGAGAAAGAGATGAGACTTAGTCTGACGCCAGATGCTGAAGATCTTAAATGCCAGGAAAAGGGGTGTGGTCTTGGTCCTGTTGGCACTGGGGCCACACGGGCAGAAGTGATAAAACAAGACTCCATACAAGTTGCACACGAGATCTTCAATGGACATTGCATGTTGAATAAGGCAAGGGTCCCTCCCCTGGAAAGACACAATGGTCTAATTTTGTTCAGCAACAGTCCTTTCATTCAAACAAAATCTTATGAAAAGCACCAATACTGACTAAAAGCAGGGGAATAATATTTAGTTCACGGGGGTGGGGGAAGCTAAATGGCTGAGACTACCCCCAGCAAGGCAACAGGCAAGGAGATCTGAACCCACCCCTCACTCTTCAACATGCAGGGGTATCTGGAAACTTCCCTTCTGCCTGAGAGCAAACCTTATCTTAACAAAACACATTCCCCTTCCCCCAGCAAATGTTCCATCATCCAGCTATCACTCAGCTGGGCCTCCGGGGTCCCAAAGGGAAAGTGCAAACAAGCACATCAGAAGCTCCCACACCATAATCAGTGTGGCTTGCTGGTCGGAACCTTCCAGAGAGTTTGTGGACACCTAATTAGGGGAAATGAAGTCACCACTGAGATCCAGCTTGGAGACGTCGGGGAGTGAGTGGGTGTGCAAGCCCACTTGCTTCCTCTCTGCATGGGGCCTCTGGAGAGAACCAACCTCACCACCCTAAGCCAGCCCTCTCCTTATCTCACTCCCCAAACAGCTCCTTGGCAGACATAGTTAGACAATGACAGGTCATTTCAAAGCACAACTCCAAACCCTGGCACTTGTGAGGTTTGCTTTGGGGTTAAGTCTAGATTCACTGCATTTCTTTGCAGTTACTGCATCTTTTCCCCTTTGCTGAGTTCTGTCCCTCCAGGGCCAGGGATGGGGAAGGGGGTGGGAGGATGTGGAGTGAAGAGAGGCAGGAGGGAAGGAGAGGAGCCCTCTGCATGCTTCGCCTCCACCAGGCCTGACCAAGCTCTGCTCCTGATGAGGCAGGAGATCCCTTTTGCACCAGCCCGGGGTCTGCTGCACTCTGCATGCAGACAGTAGCTGGTGTACTGTTTCTAACCCTTCCAGCTAAACCTAAAATCCCATCAGGGAAAGCTCAATTTTCCCACCATCCTGGGCCCCAGCACATATTTCGGGCCTGAAATTTCAGAGATGCCAGTCATACCGTAACCTAAAGTCAAAGCAAATACCAACGGGCCTAATTATATAAAGGGAGAAAATTTGGTGCAGATGCTATCAAGGCCAGGGAGAGAGCTTGCTGGCAGGGGCCGGGCAGGCTCCTCTCGGAACATGCTTGTTATGATTAACATGGGAACTCGGCGTTCTGACAGGAGACCCAATACCATGGCAGCCACACATCTGGGCAGGGAGCAGGAGAGAACAGGACTTGCCCAGCATGCCCACGGTGGATGCTCTGGACATCGGGCAGAGTATGAACAGACCACAGAGGCCAAGAGTTGTAATGACTCAAAACGGAGGAGTGCCCCACTTCCCCAGTCCCACCGGGCTTTTGCTGCTGAGGACTTAGTGGTACTCAGTAAAATCAGCCCTCACCCTTCCTTAAGCCCCCCAGTTACCACGGCATGCCCCTCCCTTATACTCCCACCTCCTCTGTGCTCACTGCTACCCAGGAGCTCAGCTCTGTGTGTTACAGTTATCTGTGTCTGGTCCACAGCCAGTCTGAGCCCCGTGTCCTCTGCATCACTGCACACTCAGAGCCCAGGACCAGGCCTAGCACAGAAAAGGCCTCAATAACTAGTCAATGGGTGAATGAACTTTCCACACCCTTCCTGCCCACCCAGTGCCAGCTCCCCATCCATAACTGGGATGTTCAGTTCATGTCAGCTAGGGTTAATGTCTGCAGATTCCCACCCAGACTGGAGGAGCTGAGGGCGCCAAGGCCACCAGCATCAGGGACGTCAGCATATCTGTGTGTTTGGGCAACATAAATTATTACCCAGTGCGGAGCAGGGCAGATCCAACACCAGCAGGAAATCCACTGTATAGATAAGCCCCACAGTGTTTAGGCCTCCATGATAGCAAAGGGGGAGACACACACCACACAGAAAAACCAGCTCTTTATTTACAAAGGGGCTGGAAGGCGGCCGACAACTGACTCGCCCAAAGTCTGGGCCACACAGGACTTTTGCTGCTCCTAAGAGGGGCCCCGCAAGCACAACCCACTTCTTGATGGCACGGTGCATCTTCCAGCCGTCCCCTGGCCAGCCCAGAAGTGAGTGGGTGTGCTGGGACCCTGTCAAGAATGTGGAAGCAAGTGAAGCAATTCAATCCCCAGAGGGAGCCGCTGAGGGGACCAGGGGCTAAGCCAGGGGTTAGCTGTCTGCAGGCTTGATTTCCGCTGCTGAATCCTGGCCTGTGTTCCCTAGAGCCGTGTGTGCAGACACTGCCAGGAGGGGGGTGGCAGAGAGCGAGCACGTGACCAGGATCTGCCCCTCACTAGCCTGTTTCCCCGCCCGCACCTCAGCTGGAAGGATGGCTGTAATCTCTAGACTGCACCGTGCCCAGCACTGCCCACTCGCCAGGCACTGTCCTCCGCGCTTTGTGTATTTCATCCTTGCAACTGCCCTAGGACGGTGTTATTATTATCTCTACTATAGAAGTGAGGAAACCAAGGCATGGAAGCGTGAAGCAGCTTGCCCAAAGGATCCACATTATCCCCAATTTGGGGTTAAGAAATGGAGACAAAAGAGCATAGGACATTTCTCCAAGGTCATGTAATGCGTGAGCAGTCAAGTCTGGATTCAAATCTAGGCCGTGTGGGTCAAGGTGTGTGCTCTTATCCACTTGTCTGGCACTGAAGCCTGACCTTAGGGGTGAGGTCAGGATGAA